GCCATTCCTGTTGACTTCTCTCCCTCCTTTGATTCTGCACCCAGCGATCTTTGCTGAGCAGATCCATGCACATGCATAGTAGAACTCTCTGGGGTGAGGTGATGTCCCACTTGCTCAGGCAGCCCCCCTCCCCCATCAGTCACCAGAGTTGAGGTGCACAGACAGAGAAAGGTAAGTAAACAGAAGAAAAAAAAAATGTTCACACCTGTATCTCTGAAAATTGGTCAGACCTTTGCATGGTTATTGTTGTTGTAACAGTGCCGTTGAGTTGACTCCAACCCATAACGATGCTGTATAGGGTTAACAAGGAGCAGCTGGTGAGCTTGAACCTCCAACCTTGCAGTTCAAACGGCTTTGCAGTCTGGCTCATTAACCCGCAGCCACCACACCAGGACTCCAGCATGGTAGTGTTCTTTTAATCTTGAATCTGCTCTCTCCCGCTCAAGATGACTGCACTGGGGCTCACTGGCTGCTGTAAATCTGCTTTTCTTGCTTCTGCTACAAATCCCACTAGCAGTAAGCCTTCAATATTTCTAAATATTACTTTATATGTATTTAGAGTTCTGGGACTGTCCCCTGAACCTACTTCATCTGGTATTCTGTGTTATTATTAGCGGAGGTCTGCATGGCGCCTCTCCGTAATCCACCATCAAGCCCCCAATATATATGTTTTGATGGTCAGAATAAATGCCTATGTTACTGGCTTACATTTGTACTGTACTTTCTATTTTAATATGAACATTCCCTAATAATAACTTACAAATAAAATGTTCGCTGTATAACAATTGTACTTCAACTTGTAGGCAGCATCATCAAATCTTACTATTGTATGTCTCTTGAGTTAAGTAGCATTATCTGTTTAATTTTATTGAAAATGTTATCATGAAGTGCATCATGGCTCATAAACACAGAAAAACCAGTGCTAGTGATAGTAACAAGAGGCAAAGGTGAAATATCAAATTGGAAGTGAAACAAGTGATTATTAACTACATAAAGGTGAAAAAAATCAATGAATACTTTTGCCCGCAATATAGGCATGTTTGCAAAACGTCCAAATCAAATATTGTCCACTTTAACAGAATGTATTGTGTATGTTAAACAGTATATGACTGTATATATATAAAAGAAGCCCTGTTAACATAATGGTTAAGTGCTTTGCTGCTAACTGAAAGGTTGATGGTTCTGAGCCA